GGATCTTCAGGAAGCCGCGAGTCGGCGTGAGTTGGAGATAGAGCTGCAGTTGAAGGAGCATCGTCAGGCACCGACCCATTCGCAGCCGGTGCCTAAGCGGTCTAAGACCGCTGATACACGATCTAGGGGTCAACAGAGCCGCACTTGTGGAAAGTGCGGCAGGGTTCACTCAGGGGTTTGTCGAGCAGGAGGTGGATGCCACAAATGTGGCAAGGAAGGGCACTATGTCAGGGACTGCCGTCAGTCCGCCCCTCCACCAGATATGAGGATTTGTTACCATTGTCATCAGGTTGGTCATATGAAGACCAACTGTCCATAGGTCGCCGCTAAATCGACGCAGGGATCTACTCCAATCGATGGGAAGATTGGTGATGGGAGGCCAGTCAAGGACTCAAGGTGGAGCTTCCGAAGGCTCAGGGACGCTGTCACACCCCAAAACCATGAATAACGGAAACGTTCTGGGGTGGAGGACGTCATGTACATATTGGCCTCATAATCGATTTAGCCCTTATATATATATATATATATATATATATATATATATATATATATATATATATATATATATATATATATATATATATATATAGAGAGAGAGAGAGAGAGAGAGAGAGAGAGAGTCAAGATCAAATAAGAAGGAAATTTTTGGTAGGAAGGTAAGAAGTTTTTTTTTTCTACATATTTTTTTCGCGAACAAACAAAATGAATCATTACATGATTCATTTGTAAGATGTTTTACAAGAAAAAATTCTCAAAAAAACATCTCGATGATTCATTTATATAATGATTTTGTTGTTATTCACTAAAATTATCATAAAAGTGGATTTTTTTTCTTAATTTACTTAAAAATGAATCATATACATGTTTTTTTGAGAATTTTTTCTTGTGAATCATCTTACAAATGAATCATCTAGTGATTCATTTTTTTTGTTCGTCAAAAAAATATGTAGAAAAAAAACTTCTTACCTTCCTACCAAAAAAAATTTCTTACCGGATCTATATCCTATATATATATATATATATATATATATATATATATATATATATATATATATATATATATATATATATATATATATATATATATTATTCAATTATGTCCCAAATACCGATAATCGTATTTAAGTTAACCCTTTGACCCGGTCAACAGGTCATCCAACTTTCAAGAATTATATTTTCGGCCCATATTTCAAAATTTGTTACATATTTGGTCCAAAATTTACACTTTTGGCTCAGATTTTAATTTTTTTTTTTTACAAATTTGATCCAAAATTTGCCATTTTTGCCCAAATTGGATGATTTGTGTGATTTCCCTCTGCATCGGACCGATGTCTGGAAACTACATCAGACCGAAGTCCGAAACAAACCAGGGCCTTGCCCTCTGCATCAGATCGAATTCTGGAACTGACTGAACACAACATAACATAATAATAACTACTAACATAAATACATATACTGCATACTACATCGGACTGAAGTCCGAAACACATAAGACACATACATGCTTGAATCACAATGACATCAAGCACACTGAACTACTGCATCAGACCGAAGTCCGGGACTACTACTACTAAACGGGCCGACATTATGGTCGTATACCCGTTTCTACTGAAAGGAAACTCACTTCATTACTCTGGCTGCTGAGATGCTAAGTCTGAAACCGTCTGACTGCTACTTCGGAACTCCCTGGCTACAAATCCCATGAACACTAAAATCAAATACTAATAACTAATCTCAAGGACTATTTTACCCCTGGTCAAAGTCAACATCCCGGTCAAAGTTAACTTCCTGGTCAAAGTCAACTTTCAGTTGACCGGACTCGCCGAGTTGGGCCGCTAACTCTCCGAGTCCTTAGGATTCTTTCTGATCCTCTACCTGCTTCCACTCATCGAGTTTTGCAAAGACTCGACGAGTTTTTCTTCGATACTAACATCGAGTCTAACTGCATCCGTCTCGCCGAGTTGTATGAACTACTCGTCGAGTTCTCCTTCATCATATGAACTCGACCAGTCTATGACTCGCCGAGTTGTATGAACAACTCGTTGAGTCTGTTCTTGAGGTAAAAGGATTACCTTGGACTCGCCGAGTCCAAAGGACCACTCGTTGAGTCTCATGCATGCCATTACTATATAGTCGATTCTAGTCGATTTACACGTAAAGTTTCCAGTTTTACGTGCATGCACAAGAGAATGGGGCTAGAACACCAAAATCATCCAACAATAAGCACTTAGGGTTTTGAACAAAGCTATATTTGAATAAAGGTAGATACATTGAGTCCTAGATCTCAATAACATCCAAATCTATGGTTTCCATCCTAAGGAGAGTTCACATATCGATTTTGAATCATATAAAGTTCCAAGAGAAACATAAACAAGCATAAAAGAGGGTTTAATGGAAGAATAAACAAGGTGATAACTTTATTACCAGAATATGTAGCAAATGGGAGCTAGATTCTGGATCTCTTCTCTCTTCTATTGGTCTTCTTTCCTGCCTTCTCTTCTACAACTTCCAAACTAGCACAAAACACTCAAGCTCAACAATGGAGACTAGGTTTACAGAGAAATCCTCTAGAGGTACTGGAGGCAGGGATGGGAGGCTATAATGACGTTTAGATAGGGTACAATCCCTGGGATTTAGGGTTTTTTCCGGATAGGCAGACTCACCGAGTCCGGGATATGGACTCGTCGAGTCGCCCGCTAAAAACACGTGCATACCTCACCTCTACTCGACGAGTTGGGCTACTGAATCGTCAAGTACCTCTTAAGAAATGAAAATACTTTATTTAAATTACATACCAAAAATGGGGTGTTACAATTTATGTTTCAAACTTGCATTAATTTGTTCTTTTTTACCCCCTAGCCAGTCACCCCTTTTGAAGAACATGCTGAGTCGGATGCCAAGTCAGCCGAATAGTATCTTGTAGGGATAAAAACTCACGAAAATAGGGGATGAGATTCGAAGTCAGGTCTCCCACCCCCAATGGTAAACACGTAACCACCAAGCTGAAAGGAGTTTTATGTTTTCGTATCTAACTTAATGAATTTAATGTCTATTTTGCTGGAACTTTTACATATCATTTGTTATTATTATTATTATTATTATTATTATTATTATTATTACTATCTTATTATTATTATTATTATTATTATTATTATTATTATTATTATTATTATTATTATTATTATTATTGTGAACTTATACATACATTTTGAAAAGCGTTTTTAAATATGTAGATATATTTAAAAGGTATGTAAACATTTAACATCATATTTATACATTTGAAAGCGTATGTATACCTTCAAATACATATTTAAACGTATAAAACGTTTTTATACATATAAAGATGTATCAAGACGTTTTTATATGTATGTAAACATATAAAAAAGTTTTATATGCATATATATATATATATATATATATATATATATATATATATATATATATATATTTGAAGGTATACATACGCTTTCAAATGTATAAATACGATGTTAAATGTTTACTTGCTTTTTAAATATATAAATAGACTTTTTAAATATATAAATACCTTTAAAAAATATATTTATACCTTTAAATCGTATTTTTATCTTTAAAAATATATTTAGACATTTAAAAACATTTTTCAAAATGCACGTATAACTTCACGTTCCAACAAAATAGACATTAAATTGATTAAGTTAGATATTAGAACATAAAACTCCTTTCGAACTTGGTGGTTAGGTGTTTACAATTGTGGGTCGAAGACCTAAGTTCGAATCCCTCAATCCCATTTGCACGAGTTTTGTCCGACTCAACAGTTTTGTCTAAGGGTTGATTGGCTTCTAAGAGCACCCACATCGGTGCAAGGATAAGATCTTGCAAATGATGCTACCTCACCATCATTTAGAATTTTTGGAAAGAAAAATTAATGGGCCATGAAATTAGATTAAAATAATGATACAATTACAATTACAAGTCTTGCAAATTGTGAAAAACAAAGATACACATGGCATTTAATTCTTGCGAAGAAAGAAGCGCCCGTGAACTTTTTGACAGACCCGCAAGATGGAAGATCTACCTTAAGACCGACTGATATTTTGGCCTTTGGATGGGTAGGAAGCAAGCACACATGTGTGGATCTTACGAGGGTCTCTCCTCTCGTCCATTTGAGGAGTGGGAGTTTCACAGTACGACATGCCGCTTTGAAAGCTGTTGCGTGCAAAACAGCAAAGCACAATAATGTATGTATAGTAAATCAACATGTGTTTGTACCTTTTGCATTCGATACATTTGGTTTAATTTGTCGCACTGGAGGCCGTGGAGCTCCTCAACAGAGTCCAACGGGTAATGCATTCAAATGTCATATCTCTTAGATCCTAGATATTATTTTCAAAAGAATTAGTTTTATCATCCAGAAAGAGCTAACGACATAACTTGTTGTCTGTTTGCATTCTATCAATATGTATTGAAGGTCTAAGGTAAAACCAGGCAATATCTCTCAAACTTAAGAGTTTTTATGACATTAACCCTATTATATATAAACCAAACACAACCCGAAGCTAAGTAGCATAGCTAATGGATTTGCAGAAAACTAACTAATTGTTTTACAAAAAATTAACTAACGGTATTGTACTTTGTCTTCTAGCCTTAATATTATAACAAGTTGGATTACGAATAAAAGAACACATTGGAATGAAATTATATTGGAATGGAGTTATTCAAATTAAATAATGTTCCATTATATTCTAGAATGAATGTGATACCATTACGTACATATTCCCATCATCTCGGAATAGATTTATTCCAATTAAATAATGTTTAATTCATATGTTCTAGAATGGATGTGTTTCCAACTTCCCATTACATTAAATTTCCCAGTACTTTTCTCTTTTGCTTTCACTTTTATGTTATTTTTCTCTCTGACCACAAACGACTTTTCGCACGTCAAACAAAAGATTAATTTATTGGACTACCAATACATATAGGTCGTCTAAACTTGCAAGAATAGGAATAAATCAAAACGTTGAAAATTTGACTATTCCGTTATAATGCATTATATAAACTGCTCATCCCTCGATCATTATTTTAAGCAAGAAAAACCATAAGAGACAAACCAATAAAGATTACAAAATGGAGGAAGAGGGGAAGTCAAATTTAGCGAGAAACATAAGTAGGAGTATCAGCGTCGCTGCAGGAAGTTGGCGGATTGAAGATGCATTTTCCGGCGGTGCAGGTGGCAGTCATGACGGCCGGAGCAGTCGTCATTCCATGGAAGATGAAGAGGCATTGCGGTGGGCTGCATTGGAGAAACTACCAACTTACACTCGACTACGAACCACCATTTTCAAGTCATACATTCCACCGGATCAACAGGAAACGCATTCAGCTGATCATCAGATGCTGGTGGATGTACGTGAGCTTGATCCAACTGCTCGACAGAGTTTCATTGATAAGATTTTTGTGGTTCCTGAAGAAGATAACGAAAGGTTCTTAAGGAAGTTTAGAGATCGCGTTGATAAGTAAGTCTTCTTCTCATTCACCAAAAGTCAAGTGACCCTGTGTTTCTTTTTTAGTTTCTTAGTGTTAAACTTGTTGTCTCAAGTACATTTAACATTTCATGCTTCATATGTAATAAACTTAAACTTACTAATAAACTTATTTTCGTTTTAATTAATCTTAGGGTTGGAATCTCGCTTCCAACAGTTGAAGTGCGGTTTCAAAATTTGACTATAGAAGCTGATTGTCATGTGGGAGATAGAGCACTTCCAACGCTCATAAATGCTGCTAGAAATATTGTTGAATCCCTTCTCGCTAATGTTGGGATCAGTTTTTCTCAGAAAGCTAAATTACGTATTCTTAAAGATGTGTCGGGAGTTATCAAACCAAAAAGGTACAATCTCACATTCTAAGATCCAAAACATGATTATATATATTGGTTATATGAAATTTAAAGGAAAAAATTTAGGAGGATCGATGTGGTTTTCTCTATTTGTTTCAAAATAATGACATCATATATATTATGTCATCATGGTAGACGACCAAAAAGAATCGTCAAAAAATTTTGAAAGAATAAATTCTTACTATATAATTAAATAATGTGCATGTTATTAAAAATTATGATTATATATGTTTGACAGTAAAACATGTATAATTTATTCCGTTACGTTAATCTCTCTATCTAATAAAAGAATAGTTTTATTCTCCTTTTGACATGTGTCATCTTATTAAGCCTCCTAATTAATGCATATTTTATTCTCATTTTGTCATGTGTCATCATATTATATTTCCTAATTAATACATGACATTTGAAAACCTATTAAATCTCCATTTCAAATTTCAAAATTTAAATTTCTCATTCTAATTATATTAAATTAATAACATTAGAATAAAAATTAAAATAAACTTAATACACATTATAAAGTGATATAATTTTACATATTTATTTAAATCAATGGTTAAAATTTGTATCACTAAAAAAATCTCTTAATTAATAATTTATTTAAAATAATTGATTAATAATTTTTAGTTTTATTTTAAAAGTTTAATTAATTGTATAACCGTGATTCTCACGGGTTATAAACTAGTTACCAAATAGAAAACTAATGTGATGGATTCTATAGAGTTACGATTACTCATTTAATCATCTGTTACAAAAGGTTTTTATAACTTATCAAGTATTATATACCATTGGAGTATAATTGTATATCCATAAATTTATTTTTACTATTTATTCCATTTTATTAAATATGAAAGTTCAAACTTTAACATCTTTATTTTTTAACTAAATATTTGACAAAATAACACAAATATAAAATATAATGTACATTTATAAAACAATAAAGAAATATAAAACATTTTAAACAGTAGAAAGCAAATATTCGATTATTAATAAACTTTTAAAAATGTTTATGGATTAAAACAAACTTTTAAATTTTACATTTCTCGTTTTACTTAAGAAAAGTAAGTTTTCTAGAAGTCGACGTTATGACGTTATGCTCCATCATGTAATCATGCACTTCCAACATATTATCAACTCACGTATATATAATAATAATAATAATAATAATAATAATAATAATAAAATAATAATAATAATAATAATAATAATAATAATAATAATAATAATAATAATGTATTAAAGAAAACTTTTAAGTATAACCTTTCTAGTTTCTAATTATTTTAAGAAAAGTAAGTTTTCTAGAAGTTGACATTATGACGTTATGCTCCATCATGTATTCACCTTCAAGGTCAAATCCACTTGCAGCATATTATCAACTCATTTATAATAATAACAACAATAATAATAATAATAACAATAATAATAATAATAGCTAAAACAGTATATAAATTTTAAACTATTAATGAATCCATACTTAAATAAGTTAATGTCAAATTGGTTTGTAAAAATAAAAATGATTAAAAGTACACTTAACTAAAACCAAAACCTTAGTAAAACATCCAATTATACATATGTATATAGTTTTATTACAATTTATTACATATTCATTTTTCTATTTTCGGGTGATTAATTGAAATATATATATGCTTTCACTAGTAGCTGATGCAAGTGTTGTCATATTACAGGATGGCACTTCTGTTGGGTCCTCCATCTTCTGGTAAGACATCCCTTTTGTTAGCACTCGCAGGAAGGCTGGATCACAACTTAGAAGTTGATGGAGAGATAACTTACAACGGCTATAAGCTTAATGAATTTGAACCTCGAAGGACATCAGCCTACATTAGCCAGAGCGATGTCCATGTTGGAGAAATGACTGTAAAAGAAACATTAGATTTCTCCGCAAGATGTCAAGGAGTTGGATCTCGTTTAGGTAACTTAACTTCCTACAAATTACATACGTTTAATATTTGACTTTTTTATAACATATATAGATGAATATTAAATCACCACTTCTACGATGCTAGTTAAATATTGATTTTATAAAATTTCTCTTTAAAAGAGCGTTTAGGGATATTGGGTGTAAATAATGTTTCTAGCGGACATAATTTATAGCTATGTAATGTAATACAGAAATGCTAACGGAGCTTGCAAGAAGAGAAAAGGAAGAAGGTGTGACCCCAGAAGCTGAAGTCGACTTTTTCATGAAAGCAACTGCAATTGAAGGAGATGTGAGCAGTTTGATTACTTACTACACTCTAAGAGTAAGTATTCATCACATTTTATTCTCTTAATCTATCCATACCCAAATCAATAAATTTGTTAGTTACATATATGGAGTGCTAAATTTTCTCTCAAAAAACATCTTGAAGAGACTCCAACGTATTTACAAGCACATAAAGACACAAGGTGGGACACTAACAATACTCATATGTTTATTAAACCAAAACAGATATTGGGTCTAGATATATGTCGTGACACATTTGTTGGAGATCAAATGAGACGAGGTATCTCCGGAGGACAAAAGAAACGTGTAACCACAGGTTGGTTAACTATATATATTTTTTCTTTTCATTTTTTTTTTCGTACACAGCATTTTTTATCCGCACACGACAATTTGTGTTTTAAAATGTTGTATTGTACAACTCTATAATGCATAAATTTTTGTATACGAATCATTTATCATCGATAAAGTACTAAATGGATATATATGTGTCCCAGGGGAGATGCTTGTTGGACCCGCAAAAACTCTGTTTATGGACGAGATATCAACGGGTCTAGACAGTTCCACTACTTTTCAAATAGTCAAATGCTTACAACAAGTTGTACACCTCACCGACTCCACCATCTTTATGTCCCTACTACAACCGGCACCTGAGACGTATGATCTTTTTGATGACATCATCCTATTATCTGAGGGTCAAATCGTTTACCAAGGACCACGTGACAATATCCTTGAATTCTTCGAAGCTTGTGGATTCGTGTGTCCAGAAAGAAAGGGTACTGCTGACTTCTTACAAGAGGTAATTAAGTAATTATGTAAACACATACCAACCTCAATATTTATAATTTTGTACATAAATATTGAAACGTTTTTTTAATGTGTTTATGATAGGTGACATCTAAAAAGGACCAAGAACAATATTGGGCAGATAAAAATAGACCATATAGATATATTTCAGTAAGTGAATTTTCGAAGCGATTCAAACGTTTCCATGTGGGGGAGAAGTTGAAAAACGAGTTGTCAGTTCCATACGATAAAAGCAAAAGCCATCAAGCTGCTTTAGTTTTCAAAAAATACTTGGTCCCCAAAATGGAGCTTCTCAAAGCTTCATGGGATAAGGAGTGGTTACTAATGAAGAGAAATGCGTTCATATACGTTTTCAAGTCTATACAAATCGTGTTTATAGGATTTATCACCATGACTTTGTATTTTAGGACAACTATGCACCAAAGGGATGAACAAGATGGTCGAATCTATGTAGGAGCACTTTTGAATAGTTTGCTCATAAACATGTTTAATGGGCTTGCTGATCTTTCATTAGTTATTATGAGGCTTCCTGTTGTTTACAAGCAAAGGGACCTCATGTTTCATCCTTCATGGGCTTTCACTCTTCCATCTTTCTTGCTTCGTATTCCTATATCTGTGCTAGAGAGTGTTGTGTGGTGTGGCATCTATTACTATGGAGTTGATCTTGCCCCTGATGCTTCGAGGTAATTAATTATTCAATATATAGGTACTAATTTAATATACCACTTTGTTATTTTCATGTTTTATATGCTAATGAAATATGGTTTACAGGTTCTTCAAGCATCTTCTGTTGGTTTTCTTGATACAAAATGTGGCATCAGGACTGTTTAGATTAATTGCTGGCGTTTGTAAAACAATGAATATTGCGAACACAGGTGGATCTGTTGTACTTCTTATGATATTTCTTTTGGGTGGTTTTATACTTCCTAAAACAAGTATTCCAAATTGGTGGGAGTGGGCTTACTGGATTTCGCCTCTTTCTTATGGCTTCAAATCTTTCGCCATAAACGAGTTTCTTGGTTCTAGGTGGACAAGTAAAATGGTGAGTTAGTAATTCTTAACTCAATTAGGTCAATAACTTACAAAATGGGCTATTATATTAGGGATAGTTTTGCAGTTTAATCACTTATACTTTTAATTTTTCCTATCAGTGAAGTTATATAACCTTTTCAAATTAACAATTTGATCCAGTAAATTGTTAGTTTGGACTTTGGAAAATCATCCCTGAAACATGACACAATAAAATCATATGTAAAACCTTATTGAACATATCAAAATCGTTATTTAAAAAAAAAAAAAAAATCCAAATTAACCCTTTGATCTGATAAATGGTAAGTTTGGAGTCAAACATGACAATACAAAATCATATGTAGAACCTTATATAACATGTCAAAATCATTAAATCAGAAAAAAAAATCTTATAATTTTTTTTTTATTTGATTGAGAAAAATATATATCAGTGTAAATGGCAAAACTACCCTAAATAATTATATTTGTTCCTAATTTCCCTTACAAAAAACAAAAAAATTAAATTAAATATATTTTGCAGAGCTCGGACAATTCAACCAACTTGGGGTATGCAGTGTTAGAGAACCTCGACATCCCAACTAAAGAAAGCTCATATTGGATCGGTGCTGCTGCTCTTCTTGGTTTCACATTTCTCTTTAACTTCCTCTTCACTATTGCTCTCGCGTATTTAGACGGTATGTTTCAATTCACTCCCCTACAGTTTACTCATATATCCACTAACTAACCCTGTTAATATATAATTCTTCTTCTGAATGATTAGCCCCCGGAAAACCACAAGCAATTATCTCCAAAGAAGAAGCTGCAGCCATGGAATTAGAAGGTCAAGATACAAACGAACAACCAACATTGCATCATGCTAATGGAAATAAAGTCACTCCTGATGTTACTAGTGTTGCTAAGAAAGGCATGGTTCTTCAATTTACTCCATATGCCATGTCATTCGACAAAATGAGCTATTTTGTTGATATGCCTTATGTAAGTTCATTTCATTAATCTATGTTGCTACTGAATATTTATAGAATAGAAACCAAAGAGTAGTGGAAACTTAGTTTTGTGGAAAAATTTCTAGTTTTCCACTAAAATTTTGAAAACCCATTTGGTTGATTCAGTTTTCAAGAATTTTCCAAGAAAATGAATATTTCTGTTTTCCAAATTTTGTATAAATTCTAAAGCTGATTTTAAATTTTTCCAAAGCTTTCTAAATTTCTAAAACAGAAAATAAAAACTCCACCAATTGCAACCAAACACGTTTTCTAAAGCTAAAAATGAAAACTCAACTCTGTTTTCTGAAAACGTTTTCTAGAAAAAACGAGAACAATTTTTCACAACCAAATGAGAACGATTGCTTGGTGATTAAACAGGAAATGAGAGAGCAAGGGGTGACAGAAAATAGGTTGCAATTACTTAGTCAAGTAACGGGTGCCTTTAGGCCTGGTGTCCTAACTGCATTAATGGGAGTAAGTGGAGCTGGAAAAACTACGCTAATGGATGTTTTAGCAGGAAGAAAAACTAGTGGTTATATCGAAGGAGACATAAGAATATCCGGATTCCCAAAAAAACAAGAAACATTTGCAAGAATCTCTGGATATTGTGAGCAAACCGATATCCACTCTCCCACAATCACTGTTCACGAATCTTTAATCTACTCTGCTTTCCTCCGTCTCCCAAAAGAAGTCAGCAAAGAAGACAAAATGGTAACTTTTTTTTTTTTTTTTTTTGTTAAAGTAGATATGGAAAAGAAGCACAAAGTGTTGATAAATTATTTTACGTGTCAGACTTTTGTGGGGGAAGTAATGGAGCTAGTTGAACTAGACAACATCAAGGATGCGATAGTGGGACTTCCAGGAGTTAGTGGATTATCAACAGAACAAAGAAAGAGGCTAACAATTGCAGTTGAGCTTGTTGCAAATCCTTCAATTATTTTCATGGATGAACCGACTTCTGGGCTTGATGCAAGAGCAGCTGCCATTGTTATGAGGGCTGTAAGAAACACTGTGGACACAGGGAGAACGGTTGTTTGCACCATTCATCAGCCTAGCATTGATATCTTCGAATCGTTTGATGAGTTATTGTTATTGAAAAGAGGAGGAAAAGTTATCTATGCGGGACCTTTAGGCAGACATTCTCAAAGCATCATTGACTACTTTCAGGTATTTGGTCAAATACATAAATATGTTATATGTATATATAAACTATATTTTCAAAAAATTTGAGATTAATAATTTGTTTTCTGTATAATCAGGAAGTTCCTGGGGTTCCAAAGATCCCCGAAAAGTACAATCCAGCAACATGGATGTTGGAAGTCAGCTCTGGTGCTGCAGAGACGCGGCTCAACATTGATTTTGCTGAGCACTACAGTGCGTCATCTTTGCATCAGTAAGTCGTCTAATTGGGAAAAAGTTAAATTGTTACAATCACATAGACTAATCTTTCAATCCAATCCCCGAATTGAAAAGATTTAACTCACTTTTCTTGGCAAAAACAAGAGAAGATAATAAGAAAAAATCAAATTCATTAACTTAATTTTGATTGGGATACTTTGAAACCAAAGTCTTGTACTAGTTTTAATTTTGATTGGGATACATTGAAACAAAGCCTTGTACTAGTTTTACACTGTAGGACTATTTTTTTTTTATTTTTATTTTTTTATGTTAGCCAAAATATCAACATATTGTAATTATAGCGTGTGTATGCTTGACAGGAGGAACAAGGAGATGGTGAAGGAATTAAGTGTACCTCCTCCTGGTGCTGTAGATCTTCACTTTGAGACACAATATTCTCAATCAATGTGGGGACAATTCACATCTTGTTTATGGAAAATGTGGTGGAGTTACTGGCGAAATCCCGATTATAACCTTGTCCGTTTTTTCTTCACTTTACTTTGTGCACTTATGGTTGGAACCGTATTTTGGAAAATCGGAAACAAAAAGTGAGTAGATAACGTGAGGTTTAATTTGCCATCTTTTGAAATGACAATTTTGCCCTAATTTTGATATTCTTTATAAATTTCAGGTCGAGTAGTAATGATTTGAGCACAACAATTGGGGCAATGTACGCGGCTATATTTTTTGTTGGTATTAACAATTCACAGACAGTACAGCCGGTTGTTGCAACAGAAAGAACAGTCTTTTATCGTGAAAGAGCTGCTGGGATGTACTCCTCTTTACCATATGCCATGGCGCAGGTTAGATAATTTTTAAATATAATTTACTTAGTTAATAATTAACTAATTACTAACTTACCCTTTCTTTGAATAGGTGTTTGTTGAGATACCATATGTATTCCTTCAAACGACATATTACACTTGCATTGTGTACACCATGGTTTCATTCGAATGGACAGCAGCCAAATTCTTTTGGCTCTTTTTCATCAACTTCTTTTCATTCCTTTACTTCACTTACTATGGAATGATGACTGTTTCCATTACACCAAACGAGCAAATCGCAGCCATATTCGCAGCGGGTTTCTACCTGCTTTTTAATATTTTCTCAGGCTTTTATATCCCACAACCCGTAAGTATCAAAATTAACTCATTTTTGTGTAATTGTATTATGTTGTTTAATGTTTATTAAATTGTTTTATTTTTAGAAAATTCCCGGATGGTGGGTGTGGTACTACTGGATCTGCCCGATGGCGTGGACTGTGTATGGGTGCATTGTTTCACAGTATCATGATGTGGATAGCACGATTACGGTGCCTGGCATGGCAATGGACCCTACCCTCACATCATATCTCAATGACTACTATGGTTTTGAAATGGATTTCATGGGTCCCGTTGCTGCGGTTTTGATTGGTTTTTGTGTATTCTTTGCCTTCCTATATGCCACTTTCCTTAGGACTATGAACTTCCAAATGAGATAGAAAGTAAGTTGGTATATAATGTTTGTAGGTTTTCTGAAAGATGATGTAAATTTTATTTTGCTTCATAACAACATTCTACTATCATATTTGGTTGAATTGAAATTATTCATTTTTATTATAGAAAGTGAATAATATATATATATATATATATATATATATATATATATATATATATATATATATATATATATATATATATAGTCTTTTTTTATTTGTGCATCCTTTGTCTAGTTTTTTATTTATTTAAAGTTGTATGTATGTATATCTTTTATTCTAATATTGGGTGTGACGCGTGTATTCCGTGAGTTTATTAAAAAAAATTAATATAAGTTTTTGAATATCAAGTTATTATTAAAGTACAACTTAACCACTTGGGTTGTGATGATTTGGTAAGACATGTGGAAGATATGGTGGATAACCTATTGACCCATGTTCAAATCCTGACACCACTCAGCCCTTTTCGCCATGGAGGTTCGATTGCAGAGACTCCAAGGCATGAGACAAAGCTTTATGTTTGCAACGGGGATTAGTCGGTGAGCGAAAGCTGGCCCGGAAACCCTCGTTAGGAAGTTCCCTTTCCAAAAAAAAAGTACAACTTTTACCTATAAGCAAAGTCTTTATTGAATAAGTATGTAATGAAACCAAAAAATACTAAAAATTAGTAATAACATATTCTAAATAATTGTTAAAAATAACAAATATCTGGAATACTACTTTGAATACAACATTCGATGTGTTATTGCTAAGGTTACATTTAGTATCTAAAATTAATGTTTCCAATCCATCTCTACTTTTAACAATGAAAATGCAACATACAACTGTCAACGAGTAAACTTTGTTTGTCTTGTCTCAACAACAAACAAACATTTGATTGCGATTGTCATTAACTTTTGTTTTGTTTATTGTGTAACGCGCGCAGATCCGGGCTAGTCAAATTAGAGGCAATAAGGGTCGAAAATGACTTTTCGGCAAAATGATAATTAGAATAAATAATCTTAACAAAGTTGTAGAATATGTTACAAGGTTTCCGTACATATAAAGAACGCCGAAATCCGAGTTATAACGAAGAAGTTATGACCGGTCGAAGTTTCGCGACGGAACCGACACGACACCAGGGAAGCGTAAATAGTGAATTTACGATAGAGCAAGTTTTAGACTTAGCAATATAAATGAAAGTCGTAGAATTTGTTAAACTAAGAACATCGATAAAAGAACGCCCAAATCTGACTTCGTATGAAGAAGTTATGATTTTTCGAAGTTTTGGATTAGCAGTGTACACCCCGAGATTCGAATATTAGATCGAGCGGTTCTTAGCCGACACAACCTAAACAGGAATCAAAGATCTCGTTAAGAGTAGCGTAACGAGAAAAAGATGGGCAAAAACAGACGTCGGATGAAGAAGTTATGAGAATTTAATGGACCAATCCTGTCCCGGCTTGTTAATAATATAAAATTTAAAATCGAGTCAAAATTAGCTGATGGAGTCTAAACGAAAGTTGTAGAGTACGTTCCCACCTTCGCGTGGATATAAAGAACGTCGAAAACGGAGCTCATATGCTAAAGTTACGAATTTTTAAAGATTGCATTCGAAATTGCGAAGTCTGGAACGAAATCAATGACATGGCGCGTTCTGAACCGTCCATCACTGAAGAAAGCCTCGCTTTGGATCTTGACACATCGCCCATCGCTTTACGCCCCGTGTCCGAAGAAGTTACGCCCCGCGTAACTCCGGTCTGATCCATCCGAGGGTGGGAGACAGCTGGCTTCAACTAGCATTCTTATCCGAGGACTACGCCCCGCGTAGCCTCCCTACGCCCAGCGTAATGACCGAAGTTTGGCACTATAAATGGAGGTGTGAAGTGCTCCGATTTCTCACACCATTTCTCCCATCTTTCTCTCACTAGTTTATCTCTCTAGCCTACCCTAACCCCCTAAAAGCCTAGGTAAACCCCCTAGCACCCAAAGGAAGCTCCGAGGCTCCCGGAGTCCCAAGAAAAAGGGTCTTTCGGTTTCGAAACGCTGCTCCAAATAAGTTCCGGTTTTCGATAAAATTCGCTGTAAGTGTGCTACGCTTACACAATTTTTAATATAGCTTTCAAATAATTATAGGAATGTTATTAGGTCCTTAAAATAATTATATGGGCTATTATTATGAATTATATTGAGTGTTATTTAATACTTATATGATAATAATAATAGTCAGACTATTAATTTGTCGCGGTTATCGTTAGACTAAACCCTAGTGGTGTTGATACTAGGTTTTATCGAAGGAAATTGTTTTGAGGGTATCGAAGTGCTGTCCGAGTGCTAAGTCACCACCTTTCAAGTGAGTGCATAGTTACTTTCATCTTACACATAGATATGAAGTATTTTATATAAACTACGTGCTATGTGTGCATATTATCTGTATATTTGCTGTCTATGTTGGATGAACGTTTTTATACAGGTTTTAGATGATTTAAACTGTATACGTATTTTATATACACGAATATGTTGGGTATGACACGTGTAGATGAATGATGAGAGATAAAAGATTATGTGAGTAAACATTGGCAGCTATTGACTTAGTTCCCAACTAATAAACATCGACAGCTATGGACTTAGTGCCTATTGGACAAACATCGGTAACTATGGATTTAGTACCTGTTAGGAATTGGTAGCTATGGACTTAGTACCTATTAGATTAAACACTAGTAGATATGGATTTAGTACCCGATGAATACACTATAGCAGCTATGGAATTAGTGCTTTATGAACGAACATTGGCAGCTATGGATTTAGTGCCAGTCCTATAACCCTGAAAGTAAGGGAATTTGGAATAAACGAATGCAAGATAGATGACTCTTAGGATAAATCCTTAATAGTAAAGAAGATAATGGGGATGGGTAATTGAGTTGATTGTTTGATTGTTTAAACATAATAATTATATTATTGTGGATTGAAAACCCTATGTACTCACCAGGTTTCCCAGCCTGACCCACTCAGTTTATTTATATCACAGGTGTTGATATGAAGTCACATTACAATGAGAGATTTAAAGAGATGTAGATCACTAGTGTAAATAAATGTAAGTTTTGTATATGCTTATGTTTCTGTATTAACGATGACATCCCAAACATTTTAAAACGAATAAAATACGTTTCTTCGAAAATGTTTTAATAACATATTTATCATGTTTCTATGAGAATAAATTCTGCAACATTTTTATTAAAAGAAGTACTCTGATTTTTATAAAGCATAAACAAAAATCGGTCTTTTCTGGTCGTGAAAATGGGGATGTCACAGTTGGTATCAGAGCATTAGTTTAAGTGAACTAGGAATTTGTAGGAAATTTCTAGACTTAAACTTAGAATGCTAAGCGATGATTGTGAGGTGTGAGCACTAGCTTATTTTAGGAATGATGCCTAAATCGCTTTTATGTGCTAAATGATTTGTTATGCTATAGTTTGATCGGATCTATGGTCTGTTGCCGAACGGATCTGGGAACCTTATGTGTTTAGGATTCTAAACGTACGAATACGATATTAGAACTAGCATGTAAACGATTCGGAGTGATAAGGATGATTTAAACATCAATCCTAATTAAAGGTCTAGATTCACCCTATTCGATGTATAGATCAAGATGGTAAGGACCCGTAGCGGAAACGTGAATGCAAATGAGAATAGGAACCAACCCCAGTGGTTCAGCAAATACCTGTTGTAAAAGAAGTTGCACCTGAGCCAATCACCATGGCTGGAGTTCAAGCCATGATTCGGGCTATGCTAGCTGAACAAAGGGAAGAAATGAGGCGAATGTTGAATAGGGACGAACCTACTATGCCCACTGAACAACCCGAGCTGATTCCCAAGCAATCAGAGGAAGGGAACTACAGCCGCCAAGTGAGTCAAGCAGGGACTCAAGGTGAACAAAGGTATGGCCTGGAGAGGAGAAACGACAAGGATGGGTGAATGTACAAGAATTTCTTGGGTGCGAAACCACCAAGCCTCTCAGGAATCCCAATGCCTCTTGAGATTATGGATTGGATCTTAGAGATGGAAATGGTGTTTGAGAGTTACGACTGTAGCGAGAACCAGAAGACCGACTTCGCTGTAAGACAACTGAAAACTGGAGTTTTGAGCTGGTGGAAGCTATTGGTAGATACGATGCCATGAGGAGAAGCCTAAAGGATGTCTTGGGAAGAGTTCTTGGAACAGTTGAAAATGCAGTACTGCTCGGAGATAGATCTGATAGACCTAAACAACGAGTTTCAGAACCTGAAGAAAGGGAAGATGAATGTTGATGAGTATGCCACCGCATTCACCGAGAGGATGAAGCTATTCCCCTACTTGGTGCCTACTGAACTCTCCAAGATTGATAGGTTTGCTAACGGATTACCCACAGACTTTGGCCCAATGGTCAAAATGGCAACTACTTTGAAAACAACTGTTAGGGCAGCTAAGAACGTAGAGGCCCAGATAAGAGAAAAGGGTCTAGAAAAAGATAACGTAGGAGAGAAGAGGAAGTTTGAAGGACCTTCAAGGTCCAACAAGGAAACAAAATTCTCAAATCTTGGAGGAGGAGATGGAGGTGAAGCGAGATGGTGTGATAAATGCAAGAAGAAGCATTTTGGGAAGTGCAACGAAGAAGTGACTTGTTACAAGTGTGGAAGGACTGGTCACTATTCCAAGGATTGCACACATAATGATAAAGTATGCTACAGATGTGGAGGCAAGGGGCACATGTCCAGAGACTGCCCGAGGAAAAATAAAGCAGCAAGACCAGAAACGTCACCAAGGCCAAGGGAATTCCACATGATCCTCGATGAGGCGGAAAACAATGCGAGAAACCAAGGATAAGGAATCTATACCCAAAGATTGAGTTACGAGGTAGCCTAATAGATAAAACCACATGATGTAGCCTCTTAGAGGCATAGTCTAGGGTGAACTTCAACACCTATGTAATAGTTTGAAGAAATAATAAAATCTTCGTTTTGTTATCTGGTGTGTTAAACTGGTATGTGATTTTCTTGAATGGTGACTTGGAAAACTGCGAGACAATACTTGGGACGAGTATGAGTAGGTGTGAAAGGTAGTAGATGCATATACTACCGGAAGCACAAGACTCACGCTTGGATCAGGGAAAGTCACAAGGTTACCAAGAAGCTAGTAAATGATTTCGTTTTATTCAAGCATGTCGTTACCATCGTTTCGGTAATGACCAAGAAGATTGTTGATATTCCGACCCAAGTGGTCATATCGAATTGAGTCCAAATACGATAAGTATGTTACGTGGTTCAGAGAACCAAGTTTGATGTAGCACCGACTTAAGCCAGAAAAATTAATCAAAGCGACCAGTAGAAGTATCGCGACGGTTGCTAGAAATGCTACCTTTTATGATGTGATTAGAACATGAAGGAAGGTATAGTCTGTTCCAGAATTTGACTGTAAACGACCTGAGTCCAAGCAATGCATCACACGATGACAGGTCATTAGAATATGACACATCGTTCCATCGTAGTAATAAAAGAACTTATCTTAAGTTCGTATCAACTGAGCATTGACATTGTGACTTGAAGGTCATAATTTGGAGTCTAACGTGAGATAGAGAGCGTATGCAAGATCGAGCACCGCCTGCAGTCAAGGAGTCCAAGAGTTAGATACCTGTTCGAAGCAACATAGAAGTTACAGTTATTACCTAGGATGAAGAGATACGTATGGAGTCATTATACTGTCCTGTTTTGTTGATGATTCCGGGATGTAATCATCCTAAGCGAGAGATAATTGTAACGCCTGCAGATCCGGGCTAATCAAATTAGAGGCAATAAGGGTCGAAAATGACTTTTCAGCAAAATGATAATTAGAATAAATAATCTTAACCAAGTTTTAGAATATGTTACGAGGTTTCCGTACATATAAAGAACGCCGAAATCCGAGTTATAACGAAGAAGTTATGACCCGTCGAAGTTTCGCGACGGAACCGACACGACACCTGGAAGCGTAAATAGTGAATTTACGATAGAGCGAGTGTTAGCCTTAGCAATATAAGCGACAGTCGTATGAAGAAGTTATGATAAAAAAACTAAGAACATCGATAAAAAAACGCCCAAATCTGACTTCGTATGAAGAAGTTATGATTTTTCGAAGTTTCGGATTAGCAGTGTACAACCCGAGATTCGAATATTAGATCGAGCGGTTTTTAGCCGACACAACCTAAACAGGAATCGAAGATCTCGTTAAGAGTAGCGTAACAAGAAAAAGATGGGCAAAAACGGACGTCGGATGATGAATTTATGAGAATTTAACGGACCAATCCTATCCCGGCCTGTTAATAATATAAAATTTAAAATTGAGTCAAAATTAGCCGATGGAGTCTAAACTAAAGTTGTAGAGTACGTTCCCACCTTCGCGTGGATATAAAGAACGTTAAAAACGGAGCTCATATGCTAAAGTTACGAATTTTTAAAGATTGCATTCGAAATTGCGAAGTTTGGTCCTTAAAATAATTATAGGAATGTTATTAGGTCCTTAAAATAATTATATGGGCTATTATTATGAATTATATTGAGTGTTATTTAATACTTATATGATAATAATAATAGTCAGACTATTAATTTGTCGCGGTTATCGTTAGACTAAACCCTAGTGGTGTTGATACTAGGTTTTATCGAAGGAAATTGTTTTGAGGGTATCGAAGCGCTATCCGAGTTCTAAGTCACCACCTTTCAAGTGAGTGCATAGTTACTTTCATCTTACACATAGATATGAAGTATTTTATATAAACTACGTGCTATGTGTGCATATTATCTGTATACTTGCTGTCTATGTTGGATGAACGTTTTTATACATGTTTTAGATGATTTAAACTGTATACGTATTTTATATACACAAATATGTTGGGTACACTACTAGAAAAACAGCCTTTTACGACGCTCATTGCACGTCATAAAAGGCTCATATGACCCGCAAATGCGCGTCAAGGAAGGCCCTGTCATAAAGAGAGACAATGCGCCTTTGTGCGTCGTCTATAGATGACGCGCATTTACGACGCTCATTTACAATGCACAATTACGACGCGCGTTTACGACACGTAATGCGTATCAAGGAAGGCGCTATCATAAAGGAAGACGACACGCATTTGCGTGTCGTAACCTTACGACGCGCGTGTTAATGACACGCAATGCGTATCAAGAAAGCCCCTGTCAAGAAAGGTCATGTCATAAATGAAGATGACACACATTTTTGCGTATCATAATTTAAATGTTTAAAAAATATATTATTTACAGAATTAGTAATTTTCAAATTAAATAATAAATTAAAAATCTCATAATACAAAATAAAATACCATAAATAACAAAGATAATTCATTTCATTAATATGTCAAATACAAATAATTATTTCAAAAGTGAATAAATCTTATAAAAAAATGAACTCATTTATATACAATTGAACTTAAATTCACTTGTTCCATGTAAATGTTGACTCAAGTTTCCATTTTAAATGAACTCATACACCAAAAAAAGGGATCCCTCCACACAATATCGTATTAAACGCACCTGCAAATATAAAGTCAAAATGTTAAATAAATATGGCCAACTCAAATCTTGATAAATATATTTATCAATTGAAATACCGCATACCAGGTTTAGATGATGAACATGTGTTAACAGATAAAATAATATAATTATGTCTAAAACTAATATTCCAAACCTCGCCTATGAGTTCTGCATAAATAAGTGGCAACAGTTATGGAAGAAGGCCCTTGATGAGATTTGGCTTGTTGTGGCCAGCTATACTCAAAGCCAAAACAGCTGCACGCCTAACATGCTGCCCATGTTTATCAAAATTTAACAGATCATGCTAATAACTCATACATATAGAATTATAAGAAAAAAAAAGAGTAGGGTTTTCCCCATTCCGTTGAATTAGACAAAACAAAATGTTTTCTTTCCATTCCAATGGAATGAAGAATTCCATTCCTCCCCTGATTCCAGCATATATAGAGATACTTACCCTGATCAATTAATTTAATCAAATATGCATAAAAATACCAATCAACCCACCAACACTTTTGTTAAATCAACACAATAACACTATTATTAAAAAACTATGGCTCAAATTTTGTAAAGGAGCTGTGTTTTAAATATTGAGCATGTGAAAGGAACCAACTCTTCATGTGATTTAAGTTTGAAGCAACTCCATTATTCTATGACGAGGAAGCATCCAGTTCTTCTGTGACATCCATTTGATCACCCGAGATACTTGCTGCAAAAAATTGTACATTTTTTTGTCATTTTTAAAACAATATTCAAATAATTGTCTGTCATGTTTTCACAAACATCATTTATCTAGATAGCACTTTATAAGTGTATCACTTAATGAGGAAAAAAAGCAATTTGAGAAGGGAATAGCAATATACGAAAAGGAAAAAATAATAATAAGAAACCTACTAGAAATGAAATATGGAGGTAGCTCTCCTAATGCAGTTCCAAGGCCCCAAAGAATAGCTTCTACTTGTACTTGAGGCAAAATGCTGCTAAGTGGAACCTGAACACCTTGAGAGGATAAAAAAACAATGGAGGCCCAAACTCTGAACAATCCTTTTGAAGCCATGTAGGGCTTCTATTTAACTTTATTGTATCATAAACAACACTTTTAAGATCCACCCGACCATACTACATTGCTTTTATTGTGAAGAAAGCAATGTGGGGACCCAGATATAGAACAAAAGTGTGCAACCCAGACCCTGATCAATTAATTACAAATACAACTTAACAAAACTTCAAAAACTTTGGTTTCCAAAAAATAACATAATAAATGAAAATGCAAGAATATAATTATCTAAAGGGAAAAATACAGAACAACACTTGTACTTTCACCATTTTATTGATTTAGCCACTGAAGAAGTATTATTTTATTATTAAATTAGCTATTGAACTATAATAATAATAATAATAATAAATGATAATAGGGATAAAGTTGATTGAGCTCACCAAGACCAATGGAAGATGTAACACCAAGAGCTACCCACCACAGTCCAAACCTTGCATATTCAAGAAGCACTTCAACATGCTACAAGAACACATGTATCACATATTCATCATTATATATTAATATGTAACATATAATCATGAAAACCAAGGAACTTACAACCTCATCGATAATTTGAAGGAACTTTGAGTACGATGAATCATAGGTAAAGAATTTGTTAACAAACAGAATACCTATTGAAGATCAATGTACAACTGATTTTGGGTTTTGGTTTGATTTTATGCTTTTCTTGGAAAACAACTAATAAAGATCAATAAATAGAGACCAAAAAAATGGTATTTACTTGGTTTTATGGATGATCTCGTGATCAATAGAAGCTTTCATTTGAGAGAACTCATATACATCATTATTTCAAATACAACTGCAGAAATATGTAGTTGTAATGGCCTAATGTAAGTAATAGGCAATAAGAAGTACCTTTCCATGAGGACCATCCACAGACAGAAACAAGAGTCCAACTGCAACTGTGAGTGTGAAAAAAAGCATAAGCTAGACAACATGTGTCAGAAGGTATACCAGTGATCTTGTTATATACTGAAGAACAACCACTATAAAAAGCTTCAATGTTTTGAAAGGTTGTGCTATTAGTGTCATATTCTCGAGTTCTTGTTTATGCTTCTCACACAGTCCTACAATTACAAACAAGAAAACCGATTAGCCAAGGAAACAAGGCATCCACTCACCATTACAAAAATATAAACCCAAAATTGGAAAAAAATATCCAAATGGTAAAATGAGAACTTCCATAATTAAGGTTGTGTTTGTTACACGAGACAAAAAAGATTACAATTTTATCCAATTGACATCAGTCCACTCAATGCACACTAGACATAGAGCAATGCCATTGTATTGTGTCATGTCTTATGTATATAGACATAGACTATAGAGAGATGATAAATTTTTTCATAAGAAAAGAGTGAGGTGATCTTATTAGATCAATTATACAGATAGAGAGAGAGAGAGAGAAAGAGAGAGAGAGATACAGGAATAAACACAACCATGGTTCCATTGTGCTAGTTTGATATTATTACATTATCATATTAGATTCATGTAAACTCGAGTAACCTAGAGCAAGTTATCCAACAAACTCATTTCATATCTTCAATGACATTTAATCAATATTGTTTCGATTTACCAAATTAAGTAGGTAAAACTTTCTTAGTCTGAAAAAAGTAACAATTCAAAACCTCAACGGAAATAGAGTAAGTAAAGAAGACTAAAAAAACCCTTGCGAAAGTGCAACAGACAAAAGATATGAATCAAATAAAATAAGCCAACAAGGCATGGAGAAAGGGATATAATATGTCCCTTGATTTTATAATGTTAAGAAGAGAGCAAGAATGGTAGAAAGAATCAGCTTGTCACAAAGTCAAATCAATTAACCAATGAAAAAGGATAATAGTTTAATCTACTAGACAACCAGATCAAAAAATTTGTGGATTTGGACAGATTGAGCCACCCTAGTTATGTCCATGGATTACAACCAACAACATCAAATGTTAGAAGATTTGATTTAAACAATCCCGACATCTCAAAAATCAAAAGAGGTACCTGAGATCGGCATCTCGAAAGCCTGAGAAGACAACAAGATTTATGAGTGCGATGGAAGTTCTTCTGCACTCACATGCTAAAACGAAAATACATCTTTTGAATCAGTTTAAATTCTTGATAAAATCTCAAATTAGTGACAATCGGGATGAATACAAGTCCTAGAAAATCTGATAAACTCACTATTCAAACGGAGTAGGCTAGGATCAGTAACAACGTGAAAGCAGATCTTTGTTGTTGTTACGGCAAGAGGATTCCAGGAAGATATGAGATTCACAGCATTCACTGATTGTGCGCCGTCTCTCTATGGATATGATTTGTGCTCGCTGTTGCTTGCTTTTCTTGGTCTCGAGTTAGATGTTAAATCAGACAATCCAGCCAACATTGGGACAAAAAATAAAATGTGTAGAAAATCTTACATACATCTGGTTGGGATCGAAGATGGATTTAGTTATTTCTCCGTTTCTTTTTCCTTATTCTCTATACATTGTTCGTTTCTTTTCTCCCTTTTTCCATCTGAAAGTTTCTTAAAATTTTAGGGCTTCTGCACTTGGAGTTTGCTGAAATTTGTTAATCAGTCACACAAACACACCCTTATTTCTCCATTACCGAACAATCACCAGCCATCATCTCCTCACAACCCCTTGACAATCTTCGAACGCCACCTCACACCCTCACCTGCAATCGAAAAAAAAGAAATAATAAGAAGGGACAAGAAGGGTTGTGATCGAACCAGAGGAAGAAAAGGGGAAGAAAGAGGAAGAAAAGGCACATCTTTTCTTTTTTCTTTTCGCTCTCAAACTCTAGCTGTAAATAGGAAAGCATGAGAGATATTGGGAGAATATATACAAGAGAGACAGAGATATCCATTCAGGTACGGTTGAGAGGTGAGAACATATTATCATTTGAAGAAGAAGGAATTTGGATGGGTGAGGGTGGGGACGAGGCAAACCTGTTTCCAGTGAGATCCAGCGCACAAAAGCCCTAGTTCTTCCAATTTTGGGATGGCGTGTATTTAATGTCTCAGAGGGAGAAAATGGTAGATAAAAGAGGATAGTTGACATCGTTGACCACTATATCGCTGCCAAACTCCAAAAATACGAAAGGGAGGAAGAGTTACCGCATAATAATGAGGTCTAGGGTTTACAGAGAAAAGGAGAAGCAGAGAGTGAAGGTTGTCGGCTGATGGAGAGGATGAATTCGTTATTCCTTCCCGAACAGCAACAAATTGATCACAAAACGAAGCCTGCAAATGAGGTCTAGGGTTTACATGGAAACCCTAAAAATGGAAGAAAAAACAGGGTTTTTAATTTTTTTAGGATTTCACTTCCCCCTGATGGAACGCGCGTTCCGTTGAAATTTATAAAGCGACATCCTTAGATGACACACATGTGCCCTCCGTGTTTTTTTTTTGTTTTTTTTGGTTTAGACACTAATTTAAGGGCACACAATAATGCATGACCTAAATACTTAAATTTTTTGAAGAGACGACTCTTTTTTAATGTCACTCTCTTTTGCGTAACATAAATCAATGAGTGTCATGGTTTGCGCGTTGTACAGGGTCTTTTTCTTGTAGTGGTATGACACGGGTAGATGAATGATGAGAGATAAAAGATGATGCGAGTAAACATTGGCAGCTATAGACTTAGTGCCCAACTAATAAACATCGGCAGCTATGGACTTAGTGCCTATTGGACAAACACCGGTAGCTATGGATTTAGTACTTGTTAGGAATTGGTAGCTATGGACTTAGTACTTATTAGATTAAACACTGGTAGCTATGGATTTAGTACCTGATGAATAGACTATAGCAGCTATGGAATTAGAGCTTTATGAACGAACATTGGCAGCTATGGATTTAGTGCCAGTCCTATAACCCTGGAAGTAAGGGACTTCAGAATAAACGAATGCAGGATAGATGACTCTTAGGATAAATCCTTAAGAGTAAAGAAGATAATGGGGATGGGTAATTGAGTTGATTGTTTCATTGTTTAAACATAATAATTATATTATTGTGGGTTGAAAACCCTATGTACTCACCAGGTTTTCCAACCTGACCCACTCATTTTATTTATATCACAGGTGTTGATATGAAGTCACATTACAATGAGAGATTTAAAGAGATGTAGATCACTAGTGTAAATAAATGTATGTTCTGTTTATGCTTATCTTTTTGTATTAACGATGACATCCCAAACGTTTTAAAACGAATAAAATACGTTTCTTCAAAAATGTTTTAATAACGTATTTATCATGTTTATCTGGGAACAAATTCTGCAATATTTTTATTAAAAGAAGTACTTTGGTTTTTATAAATCATAAACAAGAATCGGTTTTTTTTGGCCGTGAAAATGGGGATGTCACATATTGTCATCGCAAAGCATACAACAAGTGGAAATTGTGTTTGTTGAAAGGTGAATGGAATCCTTTTATATGAAAGGGTCAATGACATTCTTGGATTAACCATACGGTTTTCTATATTATTTTTATAAATTATCTCTGCATCTATAACATGCTTACCCAATGATATAACTAGTAGCCTCGTTCCATTACACAAACATTATTTCTGATCAATATCCGTTAATAAGATAACTGAAACATCGACATTTAATACCAATTTATAAACCGATAAAGCTGACGGTTTAAGGCTATTTAGAACATCAGGTGAGTATAAAGATCCGTCGAAGTCATCGTGAAGAAAATCTGAATGACAAAGATTATCTAAACTTAAGTATTCTTTTTCATTTCCTGGAAATAATGATAACAAACGATTGTTTATTTCTGGAATGACTTCATTTTTTGGTGCACGAATTGCACTTTCTTGAAAAAACATCGGATTATTGGCATTGTCAATAGTATAAGGATAGACAAATCTAATTAATGAACCAATAGGGTTCGTTGAGTCAGTAATGAGAATGTCATCCGGGATATCAATAATTGCATTGCCGTCACTTAATCCACCAACCTTTCATTCTCTTATATCTTAAGCCAGTTTGAAAATGTGGTTGTTTCTTCAATATCAGATGTTTAAAGACTTAACCTCATGTTTTTTAGTTAATCTTAATACTTTTCAAGTTGACAAAATATATGAGGAACTTAATGAAGCATTCATGATACCTTGTCCACTTCTGTTAGGAACAACATGTAGAATCTGTCTGAAATCACCTCCAAAAACAAATGCTTTTCCTCCAAATGGCAGTTTTGAGTTGCTATGAAGATCACACCTCAATATATCCTTCAAATATCAATCCAAAACTTCAACGGAATTCTTGTGAATCATGGGTGCCTCTTTCCATATAATCAAATTGCAATTCATATAGTTATTTGAGCAGGGACAAAACAATCCTTTTGGTACAATGTTATTTTATGTAACAACCGAAAAATCATGATAAAATTTTTCATTGAAAGACTATCAATTCCATTCATTAAATTTTTTCAAAAACCATCAACAAATATAATATCCAAAATATCACAGTAAAATTATTGAAAATGTAGAAATCATGAGGGGATGATGTTGTGCCATCACATCAGGCCCTTCCCTTTCGAACCGGAAGTACCTAAAACTATAAACATAAATTATAAGCACAAAGCTTAGTCAGTTCCCCAAAGTACCACATATCAATCATACAACTAGGCTTAACCTTGGGTTTTCTCCAACCCGATACGTACATATGGGCCCAACGTTGGGGCCTCGCCATGGGGTGTATTTCAACCCGATCAATACATATGGGCCGTGCCTTAGGACCTCGCCCTGGAGTATCATTCCACCCAGTGATAAAATACTGGGCCCGCCCAGGGGTCAATTTCAACCCGATTATATGATATTGGGCCCCGCCCTAAGGTTTACTTCAACCCTAACATGTAAACACATGTACGCCACATAACAGATATCATCCTACATAGCACAGTAATGGACCGGTATTAGTGCCTTCGACCCATGGATACAGTGAGAAAACTCAAATCACATACGGATAGAAAGCTGAAAAGAAACGTTGTTCTGGAACTAACTCTAGCGGTCACCTTTACAAATAATAGTATCCAAAAACTCAGACTACAACTAAAAATACTCAAAATACCCCTAAGTGAAACTTGGTCAAAATACTAGTCAAAGTTAAAGTCAACCGAGTCAAATCCATTGGACAAAACCGTAACATAGGGACTCACGTTGTGACCAATCATTGGTCATGCCGTTAGATTCGACTAGGTCCGATCCCAGAAACTCGCTCCTGACTCAGATAATTCATCCATGAATTCTTACTGGACTGACCTCACGATGTGGGAATCATAGAGCCATATCGTGAGTTCCATGAGCTCAATGATATATGGGGTTAATCTTTGTCAGGTAGTGAGACATGATATCTTACGTCGTGACTATGGTCTGAAGCCAAAGGTCACAATTTTATGTTCTTATTCCATTAATCCATTGAATCTAGAAGCTAATAGGGAACCCTAAGGTCCATATAAATGTTTGCTTTATGGTCATGCTTGCACCATGCATGACCCAAACCATTCTAGGACAAAAAGTGGAAAATATGCATGAAACTCTCATGTATGGCTCTTATACCTCACCAACTTCCTGATCTTGACAAAATGATGATCAAGGAAGCCTTATAATATATAGATTTGCTAACTTCATGGATTTATTTCACTCAATCCTGCTTAACATGGAGAAATATGGACAAAATCCTAGATCTATCCATAATATGCAAGAAAATTTGAACCTTTGATACTTAAAAAGGTCCAACAACAAGAAGAGATGATGATCATGATGTTACTTTGTCCACTCCACCACTAGAGCACTTCTTTCCTCTCTTCTCTCCTCTTCAAGCTAGAAAATGCACCAAAAATGACTATGGATCTCTTGGTTGGTTGATATTAGGGTTTCTGGAGGCTTAAAGTGTAAGGGAGGCTGAGGGTGAACAACCTTCGCCCTATCATTCCATTAAATACCAAAAATTTAGGGTTTTGGTCATCATACTGCTCTCACGTCATAGACAATAAGGGCTCATGTCATGAGACTCAATGAATGTGGGTTAACAAATTAAATTTGGCTTACGATGTGAGAGGCATTACTTATGTTGTGACTTCATCCAAAAGCCAAAGAGAAGCTTGAAATCATGTACCTTAAAACTGAATGTTACAGCTCTCCCCCACTTGAATCTAACTTCTCCCTCAAAGTCCTATTCCTTGAGTAGATCGGGGTAATGCTCTCGCATCTCCGCCTCCGGTTACCAAGTCCATTCAGAACCCTTCCGATTCTGCCACTAGACCTTTACCAAATATACCACCTTATTACACAAGGTCTTCATCTTCCTATCCAAGATTGTCACTAGTATCTCAACATAATTCAAGAGATCATCAACCTGATTATCATCCAAACAAATAAACGTGGACTCATCGGCCAAACACTTCCGAAACTTAGAAGCATGGAAGGTTTTGTGGATTTGGCTGAGCTTATCAGGAAAATCCATTCGATATGAAAACATTCCCAC